GTGTAAATTCGATATCACACGATTCAGCGTGTAAATTCGATATCACACGATTCAACGTGTAAATTCGATATCACGATTGAGCATTCAATACTGACGATGCAAATTCAATATTACAATTCAGTATGCGGTGATTATTTCATCTTTCATTTCAATCACTCATCTCTTTTAACATTCTGCTCCGCCAACTGAATTTACCTAAGCAAAAGTAATAAATTGCAATTTTATTATTAAATGAATTACAACACTGACTGAGCTATTAATATATAAAACCCGCTGGCACCTATTATTATTATCGATATTGACGTTATAATAATAATTATTATTATTGTTAGCGTTGGTGTTGTTGTTGTTTATTGATGAAAATATTAAATGTCGGTGAATGATGATGATCATGATAGCGGTGATGATGATGATGATGATGATGACGGTGATGATGATGATAGTGATAGTGGTGATAATGATGATGGTAGGGTTTGAAATGTGCCTGAGGCAGGGTAAATCTGCAACACAGTGGACTTGCTCTGATGGGAACAACCAATGCAGCGTTGTCTTTACGCCGTTTCACACAAACATCATTCAACTTCCGATTCAACTCAGCTCTCCCTCCACCGGTACCTATTGTATCCCCACCAATTTCACACAAGTCAAGTCTCAGTACCAATGGTTAGTTTAAAAATCATCCTTCTCACTTCTATATTACTAGGCTTTTTTCTTTCCTTTCTTCTACTTTTTTTTTTTTTTTTTAAATTATGTCATCATTTCATATTAGCTTCATAAATTATTATTTTTTTTTGTTAACTTAGTAAGTGGAAATGAGAAAATTTTTAAATTCCAGCAAAATTTTTTCTCAGATTAACTTTGAAGAAAATCTATTAATTTCAAGTTGCTATCATTTAAATTTACAATCTGAATGAATTTGATAAATTAATATATTGTTAAATTTATGTTTTACATTTGTATTAAATGATTTAAACATCAATTTTTTTCTTTCTTGATTTAAAGACTAAATTTTTTTTACAATTAATTATCTGTATTATATCAAATTTTCTTGCTATCATCTTCCCAAAATATACTTACTTAAGTTTCAAATTTTCCATAACTGATCTTTTTTTTTCACTTCAAACCTTATCGTATTAGTTTCGAAGAGCACCTCTTTCTTTCTTTTTTTTTTTGCTCCTTACAAATGTGATCTGTGATTTATCAATATCGATATTGTCACAGTTATCATATCATTTAGTAAAGAGAAAAAAAAAAGACGAGAAAGAAGCCGAAGGGAGAGCATGTTGCTGTTGTGTACTTATAATTGTAAATTGTAAAGATCGATAAGAATTTTGCTATCTTTTTGCAAGAACTTAGCGAGAAGAAATTCGTTTGCAGTGAAAAAAAGTGAAGTGAAGAAGTGATTTGAATTCATTTCAATACTATCATCATCTGCAAAACATTTTATCTCTGCGGGAGGGATTAATGAGTAAACTAAATTAAGTTCAATACGAAATTCCTAACATTCTGCCTACTATTTTCAGCACCATGAATTATCAGAGGATGATAATGGATGCAGAATAGGATTAAGTAATGTATTTTGAGATATTCATCCTTCATCTTTTCAATCTCAAAAATTTTCCAATGATTCAATTTCACCAACAATTAATTAAACGATATGAGTGATTTGATTGCAAAATTGAATACAATTATAGATTGAATACAATTTTCAATTGAATACAATTTTCACAAGTAACGAATCAAATTTAATTCTCTCAATGAAATATGCTTAAGTTTAGCAATAATTCTATTCTAGAAAAATAATCCTATTTAGCAGCAGTTAAATAATTTGAAATAGAATTAATAGTCGAAAAAATCTAATTTAACGATTAATAGTAAACATGAAATATGGATTGCTCTAATTTTCATACTATTACATTACTATAAAAAAAACAGCACAAGTGATTATTTTTCGGTTGCTACCACATGATACAGTATTCAGATATAACATACTTACATTTTAAATCGATTAAAAATATATTGTAAATTTTATTTCATGAGCTAATTTGATCATGATTCCATTGTTCAATTTAATTCATTTCTAAGCCTCAGATTTGATTCTATTCATTTGCAAATAATTTGATTAAGACAGATAGGAAATGCAAATGTTTTATAATCTTTTATCAACAGGAATTCAATTAAAACAATCTTTATGTATATCATTCAAATTGGACTTATGTATAACTTCTCAATTTAATTCATTTTCAAATATAAGATTTGATTCTATTGATTTGCAAATAATTTGATTAAATTTAAAATATTCAAAAAATGATAGATAGGAAGTGCAAATGTTTTATAATTTTTTTCAACAGGAATTCAATTAAAACAATTCTTATGTATATCGTTCCAATTACATTTATGTACAATTTTTTTGAATGATCAGATTTACTGAAATGAAACATTTTTAATGAATTATTCATTGTCGGGAAAAAAAAATGTTACAATTGCATTACTGATAGTTTGCAGTTTGCATTTTTGCAGAACGGTTGGAAAAATATGAATAAACAGAATAATAAGTATTATTGAACAGCTGATACTTTTGTTGCTGCTGCTGTTGCTGTTGCCGTTGCTATTTCTATTGCTGCTATGAAATGTTTCACACTATCAAAGCTAAAAGTTATAACTTTGAAAAATTAGAGAATGTAAGAATGCCAGAGTATGTTAAAAAGAAAATTTTTTTTTAATTTTGGAAACATATTTTTTTATTGATAACTAATTACTTCATATTATTAGTTAGGTAAAAAAGATGGGAAAAAAATTTTTTTTAACATAAAAGAATAAAATTACGTAATGCATTTTGAAGGGAAATTTTTGTTGATCAGAAAATGAAATTATTTGATATTTTAAAGCCTGGCAAAAATTGTCGAAACAAAATGAAAAGATTACTGTTAAATTTTCAATAAATTACATAAAACGCAGTTATAAATAATAGAATTATAGTATTGATGAAATAACCTTTTTATCAAACAATATAATATTTGTTGCTGCTCAATTAGGAAATTGATGAATTTATTTTGTGTGGAAATTTTTGTAGCAAAATTTTATTTTTCTCAATTTCTTGTTGCAGAAATGAACAATGTAAGCAAAAATAGAATGATTGAAAATTTAAAATGATATTGCATACCTTTTAATGCACTGATCCATTATTTTCAAATGTTTTTTTTTTCGTCTTCTCCCGAGTGATTCGGTATACAAATGCTAAATTCTTCCATTGTCATATTATTAGTCATTTGAAAAACGAATATTGCTTCAAAATACTGAATAAATTGACATCCGCTTTAAATGCATTGCTATAACTCTCAAGGGACTTTTGATTTTCCGGCTCGTTGCTTTTATCTTGAAATTTTTAACGGCATCAGTTTATTCAAGTATGTCGAGCAATAAATTAAAAATGAAGTAACAGTAAGGAGTTGAATAATTGTAACTTGTAAGGATGGCATCAATTTTTGCTTTACAGTATATTTGATGAAATTTCTCAATTGAGGTCATTTTTTATTTCTATAAATTTCAATTTTTTCATCTTCAAACAGTACCGCCAAATGATTATTTTTATTTTATTTTTGCTTATCTCTGTTTCATTACCCAATCATTTCATTTTTTTCCATTTGAATATCAAAAAAAAAATTTTCCTGCAATTACTGTTTTTTTTTTTGTTGAAATGAAAATAAGTAAGGTTTTTTAGTTGAAATGAAAATTTATATGTAAATATAATGGAATTATCGAGGTTTGATGGAGGCATTTGTATTATTAGCATAAAAGTAATTCTAATTTTGTCAATCTGCGTTTGATTTTTAACGAAAAATTTTAATGCTAAAAATTGATTATGTCTCGAAAGATTGCTAAGAATTTAAAGCAAATGAACAGCAACATTGGTGCAAATTTCTTGTTTAATAGACGAATTAAATTTGTTATAAATTTCAATAAATCTTTTTGTTACATTAATGATGGAAGTGAATTGTTAAAAGCATCATTAGTTTAATTTGAAAGTACGAATTAGTTTTTTTTTTCTCACAAAATTTATCAATTATTCAAATTTGGACAGGAAAAAAAAGAATCAAGTAATATTCATTCAAATATCATTAGAAAGCCATTCTTGAGCGCCAAAATTGGAACGATCAAATATGTTTCCAAAAAATGATAATGACTGATCAAAAATATTGAGTGATTGATCTGTAAAAAAAAGAAAATTTTAAACGTCTATATAATTATTTGCATATAATTAGCATAACACAAATTGTTGCAAAATTTTTAACACTTACTTAATTAAAATTGCGCTTTAAGATATTATTTCTTTGTAACATTACAATCATATTTAAAATTTAAACAGAATTACAACCCATTGCTATATGCTTCATCATCGAATATAATGATGCATCGCTGCTCAAAACATATCACACTCTCTGTAATAATCATTATTCAATTCAGTGCAACATAATTAATTATATTTGAATGAAATGAAAATGCTTTGGTGTAAGACACTTCGATATTTATTTGAATATGTTGTAAAACAAATTAAATTTCATCAAAGAAACAAATTCTAAAAGATTGTAGTAAACAAATTGTTTAGCTTTCTGCTTAGCTGCCTGAAATTTTGCATACATGCATACAAATTAAAATTGCATATTGCTAATATTTCCTTTCATTTATACGAGCAAATAAGTGCATGTTCGAATCAACAGGTAATTTTACAGTTTTTGCTATAGCCATAAATAGTTTAAAATGTTTTATTTTTTTTAATGATTCAAATTTTATTTAGATTAAATTTCAATCATTCTAATTTTATCAGTAATTTAATTTTAGAAATTTATTGATATATGTATTACAAATTTTAATGTAAGCGATATATAAGTGAATATTTTTTGTTTTTTTTTGAGTACCATTAAAGAAATATTGGAAGTTGTGATTGCTTTAGCTGATAAGTTTGCCTAATGGGAGACGAATTATATATGAGAAAGTTCCAGTTTACTCTTATCTCACTTCTATTATTGATTAATTATCTGTATATATAATTTTTATTTCCTTAACATCATCATTCCATACATCCTTTAATTGCTGTTTCTTGCTTCTTACCAAATTTCAGATCAATTTATCTCAAAGAATTTCTTGAATTATTTCAAAGCTCTTTTGTAAGCTCTGATTTTTCGCTAATTAAAAAAGCATCAAAACGATCAAAGAAATCAGCTATATTACATCCAGAAGTACATTTAATACGAAATGATTTGTATTAGATCTTAGTATCGTAAAGTGAACCTGATAAAATGATACAATGGTAAGTGAAATTTAAAATAGCTCAGCGCAAAAAAGCCACAAGATTAAGTATGCCATCGATTGAAATTGGATAGTAAACCATAAATAAATAATAACAGAATAGATTTGAAACAATAAAATGGATTTTATCGAAATGCTTAAAATAACGAATAATTAATTTGTCTTGCTCTTATCATATATTCAGTGTAATTGTATTTCTCGGAAGTTGTTGCGGCACGATGTAAGGAAATGATTCTGTAATTTAAATGAAATGATATAATACTCAGGAATGAATATATTTAATTTTTGCATTCCGTATTCAATTAATTAAAAAGTTTACAAAAGCTCTTTTAATTTTCAATATTTGATCTATGTTACAGTG